ACAAACATGATTTAAATGCCACTGTTCATCAGGAGCTGAGTAGCGTAGTGGGTAGCGTGTTAGTCTCAAAGCAATACACATGTACTCCGGGTTTTTATTGTTAAGGGTTCGAATCCCACGAGTACCATTTTATTTTTGTAATAAAAGAATAATTTTTCCGAGATTTTTTTTTTCTCAGAAAAGTTTTGATTATCATAATTTCATAAATTTCAACAATGAGAACTTTCCTTTAAATACTTAATTCACAATTTGAATATGATTTTTTTGATATCTGAAGCTATAGGCATTCTGCACGCCTTGTTCACCCATTTTCTTTAAACCGAACATATATAATTACGTATCACAACCTGTCCATGCATAACACCTGGCTGTAAAATCTAGAAGAGTCTGTTGCCGACTGTTTAACATTGAAAGAATCCCGTCCTCGCTCAGTGTCTTTTCTCTCATGCATTCATTTCCTGAAAATGAACAGATTAATGACATTTCCTCGCTTTGGTAGCATAAAAACATTTCTTCACAGTTCTATTGTTCATACCAGTTATCTCAAAGTCAAACATTTAACATAGGTATGCTGATTTCTTTCCTTCTAAGTTTTTTGGCGTAACTACGTCGTTGTCATGCAGACAATCTGATTTGTTTAACAAGAGGGGATAATTCGGGAAAAAAAAGAAAATAGAAAATAACTCTGGGACGTAACGGACAAGTTGTGAAATTCAGGAAAATAGAGTAAAAATATTTAATTTTTCTTTCACAAAAAACTCTGGAAGGGGAATTTCTGAGTATGTAGTGTATGTAAGTGAACTCCAGATTCTATTGATGCAGTTATCAAAAGAATATTTTATCCAATCAGAATCAATTATTTTATAGAAATTAAATGATTCCACAGTATTGGTGTGAAATACGTCAGACAAAATACGACCCATTGACAGGTTATGATTGCTAACAAGGTCATTGTAACACCGTAAAATTTACGAAATGCTGACTTTTAGTGAGATTGTTAAAATCCCTGTAACATCAACTTAGCTATCAGTAGCCTGTTGAAAGTTTGAATGTACTCAGAGCATACTAGTTATCAAATCAGTGGGGAGACATTAACACCATAACATTAACATTATATGCTGGTGATAACGGGGTATTACTTCATAATTATACCCCCCAAACGAAGTTTGGGGGAGGTATATAGGAATCACCTTGTCCGTCTGTCCGTCCGTCTGCCTGTCTGTCTGTCCGTCCGTCGTCTGTCTGTTTGTCTGTGCAAACGTGTCCGGTCCATATCTTTCTTACGGAGGAACATTAGAATCTACTACTACACACAAAGATTGTTCATGACCTGAGGGTGTGTCATGACCTTGACCCAAGGTCATATGGGCGTTTCAAGGTCACTGAAAGAAAAAGTTCAATTTTCGTGTCCGGTCCATATCTTCTTATGGATAAACTTGGTTAGTTTCCATTTTACACGTTATTTAATGTAATCAAAAAAATGTTATTGTAATATTGATGTTTTATTAGGCTGCACCTTAGTTTCATTCATTAAAAAACATAATGATCAATTACCGGTAAATTTTCACTCTAAATATTTAAACAAATTGTGAACACCTCTTAGATCCATCAAATTCTAGTATTAGTGACCTGGCACCTTCTCTGAAAAACCCTGCGGGGGGTATTTGTCCATTTTTGGACAGTTCTAGTGAAAGAAAGTTGGCGATTGGAAAGCTCATAGACAATCATAAATGCCAAACCACGAGAACTATATTCTCATCAAGATTTCTTGTGATATTCAAAACATTGTTAGTTCATCTGAAGTTAAGAATTATGCTCTGCAAGGTATAAAAGAATCGTTACGATTGACTAGTCATTTTCTTCCCTGATTAGCTTTGAACTTTTCTCTTCTTGCTAGCTTTGGTGAACAAATTGATCAAGAAAGAACCCCCGACAGAAGAAGAGATAAAGTACATGAGACAAAAGCATAAAGAGCAGCTTAAAGCTAAGGCGGCTTTCCTTCGTATGATTTTATTCATTGTCTTCATTTTCGTCCTATTCACCATTAGCTTCCATGAGAGAGACGCACGCTCATTCGCGCTGAAGTCCAATATCGAGAATTATCTTCTAGCTGATGGATATGGGCAGTTTGGGTTTGTTGCTGTGAGCAATTATACAAGTTATTTAAATTTAGTTACCGGTATTTTTATTGACGTTTAATGTGACAAAGACAGACATTTGGCCTTATATGTTGTTATTAGTCGTTGTTCTTCCAAACAGTTGTGTTTATAGTATATGATTATACTACACTACATATAGGACAGTAGAAAATGACTGGATTTTGATGTAGATGTAAGTCCATTATATGTAAAATCATACAAAATCGTATCTTTTTCACAAAGTAATTGTAGATTTTAAAAAAAGACGAAACAGTAATTAGATAAGATTCAGACTCTTTTTTGAAAAAGGGGACTGTACTGTTCACTGGATTCAAACTTTTTTTCAGATAAATCAAACCAAGTATTTCTTTGACTGGATTCAGAGAACCCTTATTCCAGCCTTGTATCCGGACAAAATGTACAATGGTGAAAGCCTTGGCGCGAGAGAGCGTCGTTGGTTTGGTGATCTCAGCAGCGTCAGAGTCGGTCCTCCGAGAATTCGTCAGATTCGCATGAAGAGTGGTAAGTTGATTTTCTTTATGTTAAGCTAAACCAAATTCTCTGTGTGCTCTCCTATTCAAAGTATGTAAGGTATTTCTTGGTAAGTCTAGGTTTGTTTTTGTCAACTTCCAAGCATTCTTATGTAGAAAATAAATCCCATTCATTGTTTAAGGACTTAGCTGCGCTTTCAAATGAGTTTTCAAGTTTTGAATATAAAGAATTTCTTGAAAAACAAAACGGCTTAAATTGTCATATTCATTCAAATGTATTAGATCATTTTAATTCTGGAAAATGAATTGGATGGAATTCACTAAAGTTTTCAGCAAGTTTAAGGACATATGCAACGTAGTTTGAACTTTATTGTCTTTTTCCCTGGAGTTGAAGAGCTCCAAAACTTGAAGGAACTGTGTGCTACATTTTAATGTCTATATATGCAGTTGTACACTTCTTCTAACACAATTTTGGATAAACAAAACATCTAGAATATATGTTTAATAATTTTTGTATATTTTTCTTTGAATTACACGAGAATTTTCATCAATTAATATCTTTTCAAAACCCCTGGTAATGCATGCTGATTTTTTGACTACGAACATCTGATGGCACTATTATCTTAAATTAAGAATATCTTGAAAAATTATCAGTAGGTAAGGTACGTTGCGTATGTCCTTAAGTTAGCAAAAGGAAATAAGACAAAACTTAGCTTTGCAGCCGGTAGGCCCGTACATACAGATTTTACCATCATCTAGTGTTCATTGTTACCCCCACTTCTTAGTAAATTTCTTCATGTAAAAGGTGAAGATAACGAACAGTGAACAATCTCAGTAAACAAAACGAATCATGAACAGTGCCAAACCATGGACCCCTAGGCCTGGAAACTCAGAGTTGGGATCAGGTGCCCAGGAAGAGTAAGCATCCCCTGTTGACCAATCAAACCGCGGTGAGCCCTATGTATTGATTATGTATACGGAGTACTCCGTAGTCAATTTTAGTTTAAAAGCAATGACCTAACAAATGGTATGAAGCATGTCAGACAAAAAACGACCCAATGATAGGAATTATTTACAAGAAAGTTCATTATGGAATTTTGGAAGAGCTGAACTAAAACGGGGTACTTGAAATCCTTGTAACATTAATTTATTTGCCACTAGCTTGTCAAGGTCTAAAAATTGATCGTACTCAGAGCATGCTCTTGCATATCAAATCAGTTTGGAGATATAAACATCAAATGCAGGTGATAGAGGCATATGGGACGTTGACGATGGAAAAAGCTGAAATCACCCCGTTTGTCATACACTTTAGTAAAACGTCCAAATATGAAAAGATGTGACAGACTCTGTATTGTCTTTTATTTCAAGTTCACATGTGAATGAAAGTAATAATTGTTATATGATAAAACGTCGTTAATATATCTAAATGTTGAGTCCAAGGCCACAGCAAGTGTTTTTTGTCTTCTTGTGTAGTTTTTGAATAAATTCTGTTTCGTAGTATTATCCATTTGAGTATTGGAAAGATTTAAATTATTTTTTCCTTGTTTTTTTTTCAAAAAAAAAACAAAAAAAAAACGTTACTATCTTTTATAAAAGGTACATGCAATCATTTGTGTCTGATGGCCTACACTTAGTTTTTTAGGTGTCATCTATAATACCATCAGATAAAATAAATTTCTACACGTAGATATTTGTTTATTCGTTAAATGACAGGAATTCCAACATGTTTTTTTTTATTTGCACAGAGTCATGTTCCTACCAATATTTAACATTTCCATATCCATGCATCCCCGGGTACAGGGAATCTGAAGAAGACACGGACTATTATTGTTTTGGATGGGAAACTTACAACCAAACTCGATGTGGCTCAGACACATACAAAAGGTCACACTATACGGCCAAATCGTGGAGCTATACCCACTCAGATGATATTTGGGGAATATCCAGGACTGGTGACTATGGTACCTATAGTGGAGGAGGCTATATCATTAAAATGGGAAACGAAAGGGAAAATGGACTAGAAATAGTTGAGGAACTTGTAAGGTTGAATTGGATAGACCGAAAGACAAGAGCTATCTTTGTGGAGTTTACTACTTTTAACCCGAATGTGAATTTATTTGTTTTTTCATTATTCTTGTTGGAGGCACCCGAATCAGGAGGAGTGATAACTTGGACAGATGTGCAGGCGTTTCGTCCTTTCGTTTCGGTCACTCAATTTGGAACCATGATAGTTCTCTGCTATTTGCTTTTTATTTTGCATCTCATTGTATTCTCAGTCCGAATTGTTGTCAAAATGTATAACTCTGGTATACGTGTGTATTTCCGCGAACCATGGAACTCTGTAGATTTAATTTCTGTAATTCTAGAAAATATGTCTGTTTCTCTTTATGTAGCCCGTTACGTTTATGCTAAGAGGGCTTCAGTGATGTTTTATGACGACCAACTCGTGGGATCAAACAAGTTCATCAATTTCAGTCACGTCGTTATTTGGGACACTATTTTTAATACAGTATTTGGATGTTTATTGTTTGTTAACGTGATAAAGGCCTTCAGGATTCTTGGATACAATAAAAGGTTCATACAGATTATATCTGTCCTTACTGATGCCATAGAGGACATTGTTGGTTTTTCTGTTGTGTTCATTTTGGTTTTCTTTGCTTTTGTTGCTTCTGGAAATCTTCTGTTTGGGTCAAAACTGAAGGATTATCGAAGTTTTCTCAGTACATGTGGAAGTTTAACCAATAGTTTCATAGGGAAAAATAAACTGGACACGCTAGTGAGAGCTTCACCCAATGCTGCCCAATTTTTCTACATCGCCTACATTGGATGTGTTATTATGACATTGATGACTATTTTTGTTGCTATCCTTAACAAAAGCATATCCCTTGTGAAATCCCAGGCTACATCCGCTCCACCAATATTTGGAATAGCCAATGTCATTCAAAATGTTGTTCGCAAAACTTTAACTATTTTAGGATTTTCCAAGCGGTTGGTCGCAAAGAAAATAGAAAATTGTAAGTTTCGATGACTGTTAATGCATCTTGATCTTTTATACTATTTTAGTTAAAGGAGTCCTATTTGTTCGAGAAAAAATAAAGGTTTCATTAACATTATGAAAGATTCTCATCGAGATTGAAATGGCACTATTCCCTATGAAGCACAAATTGGAATATAACATATTTTTAAATTCAAACGTCTAGCAATAGTTTCATTACCTTATTCTTAAAAGTTCTTTAAAAAATGAAATCTTTCCTTAATTTTGGATGTTTAATTCTTCATTTAATAAACTTGTTTATAATTTACTGTCCTACTACAGATCAAGAGCTATACATTCATCCTTCGGAAGGATTTCAGACAACAAATATTGTTCGTTTGATGAGAGGCATACTAGACAATACATTCCATCCAGAAACCCACAACCAGGTATGAATTTTCTCAAAATCCAAGCACTTTTACCACCGATTGAATAAAAGTTTGTCTTGAAGTAAGGACATGTATTTATTGTTATCAAACAGTCTAAAAAGAATTCAGAAGAGGCTGAAAAATTTTACTTTGAAGGCGAAAATAGAGTGAGTGAAACTCAGACGAAGGTGAGTAAGAGAGTCCCAAGTAACACTTTTGGCTCAGCTGAACATAGGGAAATTTGGTCACTCTAAATGAAGTATTTTTAATGGATAAGTATCACTTTTCATATATTATACATGTATATGAGAAATTTGAGTTTCAAGGAGATGGGTGAACAAGGCGTGTAGAATGCCTATAGCTTCAGGTATATAAAAATCATATTCAATATGTGAATTTAGTATTTAGAGCATATCTCATTATTGAAAGTTATGAAATTATGATAAACATAAGTTTTCTGAGAAAATGTTTCTGGGCAAAATTATTCTGTTATTAAAAAATACTGTGGTGTTCGTAGCGTTCGAACCCTAGCAATAAAAACCCTGAGTAACATTTTCCTTTTTAGATTAAGACGCTAACCAAGTGCTACGCTACACAACTCCTGATGAATAGTGACATTTAAATCACGTTTGTAATTTGCCCCTTGACTAAATGGACTTCAAGTATTTCTCGGAAAGATGCAATGATATATCAAAAAGTATATTTTTACGCAAACGTAGAGGATAAACTTTTACATATCAAAGAAAATTTTGTTATAATTGTGATTTAATTTTTCACCATCGTGTATGTCGCATTATAGGCATTTCGCTCGCCCTGTTCATCCATCTTCTTTGTCAACAATGATAAAGATGATAGTAATATTGGAAAGAATGTCTTTATAGATTTCAGAGAATTTATCTGATAGCATTTTGTCCAAAGAAACTGTTGGAAGATTGCAAGTTCGTAGAAGCATACTAAAAAGGATAATGGGCCTAAGAGGATATAAGGTAAACCACGTACTTAATAATCTAAATCCGATAGGATTAAGAATGAAAGCTAAAGTAAAAGTTAAAAACAGATAAAAGTTCATTAATTGTGAAGATTATGATTTCTCTTTATTGTTTTAGGAGCCTGCCGGCAAAGAGTTTGATAATTTCGACGACATCCTTTCATTGGATATGAGGAACAAACGAAAACACCAAGCACAAAAAAGGATTCTGAAGAAAGTGGTCGGTGTCAGTGCATTGGATACTCCTCACTCTGGAAAATCCGATCCGCTCGCAGTGAACTTACTATATCTGTGATCATTGTTGCATTACAACATGTAGTTTTTTAGAGTAATTCTGAGATGCTACCTTTATGTAAATAGCCATTAATAAATTTCTTTAGAAACGGCAGTGTGTGTCTGGGAAATGTCTGGGAAATGCACAAATCAAAATAAAAGAAACAAAAGGAAACAAAAAAAAAATTCTTATGTGTGAACTCATGTTTCCATGTGGTTTCCTTTTTTAGTGGTAACCTTAGAACAAAAATTTATGATAAACGTAATGATTTCAACTTTTCTATCGTCAACTTCCCTTACTTAAGTAGCAATATATTCTTATCACCTGCATGATTGGATTTGCAAGAGCATGCTCTACGTACAAACAATTTCTAAAATGAGGCAAACTATTGACAAATGAGTTGATGAAATAAGAAAATCAACAGTCTCGAACTCGTTTAAAGTTATCATTTCGCAAGTTCTATGGTCGATACAATGACCTTGTCAGCAAATACAATCTATCATAAGGCGAATGCTTACTGACGTTTTTCATACCAATTGTTAGGCCACTATTTATGTTCCCCAAACGAAGTTTGGGAACATATTGTTTTTACTTTCTTTTTTCAAAATTTCTTCTCCGGTACTTTTTTGTCCGCGAGTGTTCTCGCAAACTACTTATCCGATAGAGACGAAACCTTTTTAGGGTTAACAGGATGTTGTGTAGATGTGATGAAGGAATGTCATTTTGCGCGCACTTGGATGCACTTGCGTGCGCATGCAAGAAGTGAAATGACTGATTTACCTAATATAGCCATAACCTTTATATTTTTTTTTATGAAATACTTTGAAACTCAAAACATAAAGATATAATAGAAATAGAAGTGTAAACAAGACGACATGGTCAAATTAGCATGAATTCATGCACATGCGCTTCGCTCTGATTGGCTGAAACAAAAATCTCAATATCTTCCTTGTTTTTTGACAAAATCCTTTGAAATTGAAGATATAAGTATATATTATAAGGTTCTACAATACTGTGGAATCATCATTGTTCGTGGGGGATCAATGTTCGTGGATTTCGTGGGTCACCCTTACCCACGAATTTACATCCCCACGAAGAATTTTTTGTCAACGTACTGATGAATTAAATCTACCAAATAAACGAGCTACCCACGAAATTACATGCCCACGAACCAATAAAATTTTGCTTGTCCATGAACATTGACCCCCACGAATTTAAATGATTCCACAGTATGTTATATACAGAAATTCTTGAAAAACGCGCATGCACGTGTTTTGAAATTTGTTTGGCTGAAACGAAACTATAAATGGCTATAACTTCCTTAGTTTTCCACAAAACAGAATGAATTTTAGAATATAGATAGACATAATAGGTTCCTACATTATGCTACTATCAGAATTGATTGCAAGGACATGCATACACGTGTGCTGAAATCTGATTGGCTAATACTTTATAGGTTGTGACTGTCTTACAATTTAATATAATTCTTTGAAATTTAAGACAAAGGCATATGTTATAAACACTATAAGAATATATATGTGAGAAACCTAGAAAATGCTCACAAACACGCGTGCTGAAATCTGATTGGCTAAGATTGTAAGTATTTATATCTTTCTTAGTTTTTAACGAAAGACGACGAAATTCAGAGTGTATGTAAATAATACAAGTCCCTACATTATGGAATCATCAGAAATGAAACGAAGACATGCATGCACGTGTGCTGAATTCTGATTGGTTAATATTAGGGTTGCTTGAACTTTCTAGGTTTTTAGTGAATTTTTTTGAAATCTCAAATGTATTGAGATGATGTATATGCAAGAATTTTTGAAATCACATGCATTAGTATGCCACATCCTTTTCAAAGGGGAGGTAATGAAAAATTAGTTAAAGATTTAATGTCAACTCTAAAAATTTTCTTCTCAAGAACCACTGAGCCAGAAAAAATAAAACTTATGTTGAAGCATCCTCAGGTAGTGAAGATTCGAGTTTGTTCAAATCATTACCCCCTGTGGTAGAATGGGACCACAATAGGCGATCATATTTTTGTATATTATTATATCAGAAAAAAAATCTTTAAATATCTTCTTCCCAGGAACCAATAGGCCAGAAGATTTGAAACTTATGTAAAAGCTTCATTGATAAAGAAATTTCAAATTTGTTCAAATCATGACCCCAAGGGTAGAGTGGAGCCACAATGGGCGATCAAACTTACATAGGAATAGATAGGAAAAAATCTTTGAAAATCTTCTTTGAAAACAATTGACCAGAAGGCATCTGCTGCATCAAAATCGGTACCGTGAAATGTATGGAAATAACAAACAGTATTCAAGCTCAAAAGTCCATTAAACCATACAAATTTTTGAGCAAAGCAAACATGGACCTATAAAACATCAGAGGTGGGATCAGGTGCCATGGAGGAGTGAGCATCCCCTGCCGACCGGTCACACCAACCCTGTGCTCCTTGTCATGATCCGGAAAAAACCGTCGACAATTCAGTGTGAAAATAATGGCTTAATAATAAGAATTAAAAACGTCAGTAGGCATTTAATTGTATTTGCTGACAAGGTCATTGTATCGACCATAGAACTTACGAAATGACGACTTTAAACGAGGCTGCTGATATTCTTGTTTCATCAACTAGTTTGTCAATAACTTAACTCGTTCTAGAAATTGTTCATACGTAGAGCATGCTCTTGCGTATCGAATCAACTGAGAGATATAAACCCCGTGTGCAGGTGATGAGGTATATTGCTGCATATGTAAGGGAAGTTGATGATTGTTAAGTTAAAATCATCACGTTTATCATAAAGCTTGGTTGTTAGATTACCATTAACGTCTTTTTCTAGTAAAATATCCAAATATGAAACAGATGTGTCAGACTCTGTGGTATCTTTTATTTCAAGCTCACTAGGATATATCGTGTTGACATAAGAATGGAAATAACCATTGTTAATTGACAATACGTCGTCGATATATCTAAATGTCGAGTTGAAGGCCACAGCAAGTGTTTTCCTCTGTTCACGTATAAGATTTTGAACAAATTCTGCTTCATACCCATGGAAATTCCAATAGATTGTTGGAAGACCTGGTCTCCAAAAACCACATAGATATTGTCAATCAGAAACTCAGGCATCTCTTTAATATCATCTTCAGAGTACTTGTGTGTACAATCAGAATATTTTTTAACAAATTAATTTTGCAAATGACCAATGACAAGGTAAGTAAATTTACGAGTTCCATTTTTATTGAAAAAGCAGCTGTCAATGATATCAAAAAGCCTGGACTTCAATTTATCGTGGGGAATGGTTGTATATAAAGTTGAAAAGTCGTAAGTTTTCATGTTGTTGATTTTGGTAAAATTTTGTGATTTCAAATTTCCCAAAAGTTCCTTGGAATTTTTAAGTATCCACATCTGATTTACACCACTTCTCGAATATATTGTTGCACAGTACTCCTGAAGTTTCTCCTTCACTACTGTTAATATTTAAGTGAGGAGAAAGAAAGAGGCTTGGTAGAACATTTACTGGAATCCATCATGTATCTTTGTTTGTAAGGATTTTTATGAAGTTTCGGAATCCAATATAGATATGGTAATTAAAATTTATGTTGGTTGTTGGGAATATTAAAAATATTCAAAACTGACATATGATTTTGAAGAATTTCCTCCTCCTTAAAAAGCGGCCGTTCACGGTAGCTCAGTCGGTAGAGCGCTTGCTTCGTAATCGGAAGGTCGTGAGTTCAAATCTCGGCCGCGACTGACCTAAGTCGATAAAAATGGGTAGCAACTGTTCCTTCGCCGTGCGCTCGGCACCTTGAAGTGAAAGTTGCGGGTCTTTCGGATGAGACCTTAAAAACCGAGGCCTCGTGTCACGGCAGGCGTTGGCACGATAATGATCCCTCTCTGCTCAATGGCCCTGAGTGCCGAGTAAAGGTCAAAATTTGAAGCCCTTCACCGGTATATGGTGATGTCTCTATATGATTGAAAAATTCTCGAATGGGACGTAAAACAACATACAATCAATCCATCCATAGAAAGGGAGCAATGGGTATAAGTTCGATTACCACTTGTTGAATTAAATCCCAGTTCCTCTAAAATACAATTTAAATAATGAGCCTTTTTTTTAAATTCAAATATTTCGGATTTCCAACGTATCGGCATGGGCATTACTGAAGAGACATAATCTGTCGAAATGTGCAATTGATGTATCAAAACTGGTACCGTTTATGATTTACTTATGTGAACGCTTTACTACCTAGTGTAGATTCAAGTTTGTTCAAACCATGACCTGCAGGGGATAGGGTGGGCGACAACGGGTATTAATTTTTTACATAGGAACATATAGGGAAACTGTTATTCTCAAGAACACCAAAGCCATGATTAATCATATTTATATTGAAACATCCTCAGATAATATGGATTGAAGTTGAAAATTATGACCTACGGGGGTATGGTGAGGCCACAATCAAAGTTTTACCTAGGAAAACATTCATAAAAACCTTCTCAGGAACAGCAAAGGCCTGAAAAGTCATATTGATTTAGAAGAATTCTCAGTTAGTATAGTCTCAAGCATGTTCACATTATGACCACATAGGTAGAGTTGGACCACAATAGGAAATCAAGGTTATACATAGGAATATATAGAGGAACAAATCGTTAAAAACCCTTTCCTTTGAACCACTGGGCCAGAAGAGTTGAAACTTGTGTGAAAGCTTCATTACATATAGTGAAGTTTCTAATTTCTTCAAAATTCTTTGAAATCTTTCGGGCTCTTTTGAGAAGCTTCACTTTCCTGTCAATGTTCACTACCTTGCTGGCATAAAAGTCAGAACCATACAGTTTTCCAATCACATCTAGTGTATTTTCATTTTTTTGAGAGAGAGCATGTCCAGCCAATTTAGCACTATGCATAATATTGGCCGAGTGGTTAAGCCTGTGTTCGAACAGGTATGCAACATCTGCCTTCTAATCATTAAGATAGTTTTCTCAATCATTCAGTTCTTCGACATTCATATTAGACTTG